GCTTAGCTTACTTTGTCACGACATCTTTCTCTGCTACTTACAATCTTATATAATGAAGTGCTTTTAAAATGCAAATAATTTTGCTCCAACTTCAGTGTAATTTATCTCCAAAACAAGAGACATAATTTTCTATTTGGCAGTGTTATGGCCATGTACATGAGCCTATTTAGCAACTCTAAAAATATAAAACAATGTTCAGATCTTTCTGTATGTGATGCTGATGCAATTTATAATGAATTAGCCGACCAAAGATCTTGGTGATATACTTAACCTAGAGCAACATTAGTTTAGAAAGAATTGTTCTGTGGTTTGTAGACCTCAAACAGAGGAGCTCCCTGCAGAAGGGAATCTTGTGTGTGCATTAGGGCTGATTTCTCCAATGACTTCACAATTTCAGGGCTTGTTTTTGGAATTTTGCTGAACACCAACTGTCTGACTTCGTGTGTGTGCATGTATTACCCTAACTTTCAAGCTTCAATCAAAGTTTCAGTGATGCAAAAATGGATAGTTTTTATGCAATTCCATACTTTCTGGACAATCACTGAAAGTATTACTGACTGGATCCAACAAAAGATCTTTCTGTACCAGATAGTGCTAGGATGTGTGGGTCAGGTATTTGAGCTGCAGAGCACATATTAAGTTTATTTTTTTCATTATTACTTTAAAAGCAACAATTTTACTTTGGGTCCAATGAGCTGTTATTCTGCATACTTTGATACTGGAGTTCTACCAGTACTTGTATTCAATCAGGAACAGATCAGGAGGTGATGACCTTCATGAGTCTGAAGTGTTCATTCAAGTGCACTCTGTATTACTAGCTGAAAATAAAATAAATAGAAACCCCAAAGCCCTGAAATGTCTTCAGTATGAACACAAGCTGGTTTTGTAGGAATTTGTCAAATAGCTTAAGCAATTCTTCTTCTTTTACTTACGCACTAATGGTGGGAGGATTGTTTTCTCTGCATCTGTTCTATTAGATGTGACTGGAGAGCTGAAATCACTACAATGAATGTTTTTAGCAGAATGAAAGTATTTATCTTTGTGCAATAAGATAAGTCTGGTTTACAGGTGTGAGTAAATGCTGTGTGGGTTTAAGGAAAATGTTTACTATAACACACCTGACTTTACCAGTTTACTGATCCACTTTCTCTAGTGTTCTGCCTCTGGGAGGATTTGTTACTTCAAACAAACAAGATGGAAAAATAAAGCAAGCGTGGAGAAAGAAGAGTTCCTCTCTTGACTTTTGCAAACTGTCAATTTATGCATTGCAAGCCGAAGGGTAATTAGCATTTGATCATTATCTTGTCTTCACTGTTCTGTTTTGGTTTTGGTTTCCTGTTTTTTAATTGGGCAATCTTGAGCTCTGCTGTTATCTCTGATATGTTTACTACATGCTCTGTGAGGCTACTGTTTTCTCATGTTATTGTCTTAACCATAAACACATGTGCTTTGCATGAAATGACTTTTTGTAGGTTGTATCTCAAGATCATAGAAAAGGCTGGTGAAGACTGAAGCTGTAGTTACTGTATGAGGACGATTTAATTTTTAAGTTACTTCAAGCGATAGTAGTTTTGAACAGATGCTGATGTATAATGTAACTTTGCTAATCAACTTATTTTTGTTAGGTGTTGATATGAGACCATAATAAGGAGGAATACAGTGAGACACTACCAATTTATTTCCATAATTCATGTAAGTCAGTGCAACTCAAAATAAGAACATAAGTGCCCTATCAAGTCAAGCCTGTCTAGCCTAGTGACAATAGGAGACATTAGTTACTTGAAGTATTTTTGATCTATATTGCTAATTTACATGAACTGAAAGACTGACTGTAAGCTGTAAGTTACTTGCTCAGTCTGAAGTACTATAATAATGCTTATATCATTCTTTATGTAAGTGCTATAACAATAGAAATCAAAATATATCCATAGCTAAAAAGGAGTGGTTTAGCTTTCTCTTTGCAAAATGTACTAGCTTTCTTAGGGGGTTTAAGCATTTTAAACGCACTGAATAACCACAGCATCTCTTGATGCTTTAATCAACAACTGGCAGGATTAGGCTGCATCACCTTTTCCCATATGAAGTGAAGGGGAAACTGCTGACTTCCTGGATAGGTGTGATTCAGCCTTGGCATAACTCTGTGAATGCTTGTAGGTAGACTCAAACTCCTTTGTGTACATTTCTAAGCTTTCAAGTCAGGTGAAGCTTGTTATTCTGGACAATTCTGCATGTGCTTAAAGGTAATAATTCATAAATTAAGTATGGTGCAGGTATGGCTTTGTATCCATGTAGACTTCATTGTAATACTACTTAAAATAGGTATTTGTATAAAGGCTTTGTTTTTGAGGCTTAGAAAAACCTTGAGGAGCAGATGAACTGTTCATGCAATACTGTGCTGGTGAAGTTAGCACAATCCTGCCAAAATGTAGTAAGTTTATCAAGTATGAAATGCCACAATATCTGTAAGATTCAGACAAAGTGAGTATCCTAACCAGGGTGCAGGTGCATCTTGTATAGGAAGAGCTGTAAAGAAAAAGTCATGTATATGTGTAGACCATATGAAATGTGTCATACATAAAGCACATGAGGAGCAGCTGAGGTTATTTAACCAGGAGAAAAGGAGGCTTTGGTGAGACCTTATTGCTCTCTACAACTACCTGAAATGAGGTTGCAGTGATGTAGGAATTGGCCTCTTCTCCCAGGCAACTCATGACTGGATGAGAGGCCAAGCTATGCCAGGGGAGGTTCAGGCTGGACATCTGGTAGAATTTCTTTACAGAAAGGTTTGTTAAGCATTGGAATGGACTGCCCAGGGAGGTGGTGGAGTCAGTACCCCTGGAGGTGTTCAAGAAATGGCTGGACACGGCACTTCATGCCATGGTCTAGTTGACAGGGTGGTGTTTGGCCAAAGGTTTGACTTGAAGATCTTGGAGGTCTTTTTCAATCTAAATGACTCTCTGATTCTGTAGGACATGGGTTTGTGCAGGTGTGTTTCATGGACATGCATGAACAAGCATACTGCCAGTAGAGTGCATTAGGTTTTAGATGGATGCAGCTCCTCAATAGAAGTTAACTGATTTCAGTCCTGGTTTCTAACTGCAAGCCATGGCAAAACTCTGGATGATGGAGCTCTGGCTTAATGCTCCTGGTCTAGTTCTTGCTATGATTTGAGACACCTAGTATGGGGCTTGAATACAATTTAGCTGTTCAAGCACAAGTTGTTCTAAAAAGATTTAATCACAAATATAGTTTCAATAGAGCCTTAATTTTATATCATGGGAGATATCTAATCTGGAGATGCCTTAAGTTTTATTCTTCAAGTTTCAGTGCTCAGTGCCTCTTGGTGGATGAAGAGCTGTTGATTACCTGGATGTTGTTCTAGGTGCTGCTGTGTTTTACTCACTTATTCAGTGTGGCGTGTGAAAATACTTCTGTGGTTATTCTCTAAGGGATGGACTAAAAATATAACACTTTAGTACCCTAGATCTCTCAACCATGGATGTTCACTAGTGGAGCAGTCAATCCTACAGACACATCAATGCCAATGGTAATCAGAAAAATTACTTCCTTGTTCAAAGGGAATGTTTTAGCTCCTTTTTGTGTGTGATAGCTCACAGCTATAACAGCCTTAAGGACTAGGTTCAGTTTCTCAAATTAGGTACCCTCTTATTAGAGGATGTAGCAAACTTCTGCTGTATACTTTGCTAGAAAAGATATCGATGTCAAATATAAGTTATAGATTAAATCCAAGACATCTGAGTCCCTCATCAGAAGAATGAACACTTGAGTAAAACACATATGACATCTCAGTTTAATGTATTTTATAGGTGATAGATTAAATAAATATTTTTCTGAACTTAATTAGAATTTTAAAAAAAAATATCAAGAAATGGTAACTTCTGCTTTCTCGAATATGCAATTGATAATACCTGCAGATATTTTAGCAACTTATTTTCTGATGCTATTAATGTGAAGGACAACTGAAAAAAACCAAAACTCAAACCCACACCAAACAAAAACCCCTGTGGAGAGCGCCTTGAATAAAAGCAGGAAAAGATAGTTTCTGCAAGAAACCTCATTGTTCAGGAAGAAGCAGCAGTTAATAGAAACAGCTTATAATTTTTTTTCTGCTCTCTTATTCCCCAATACACTTCTTAGGGCTAGTTTGACTTGAGATTGCTGCTGCAAAGGAACACCCATGACTCATATGCTCCTGTGTTAGTCCTATTGAAGTGCTCTTTTCTCTATAGGGTAGTGCACAGACAGCATTCAGCATGGCATGTGTGGTGTATTGCTGATAACTGTGACTGACACTGCACTGCTGGATTTGTTAAACTTGTAATAAGTTCTACCTGAAGCAAGTACAGTGATGGTCTAAGTAATGCCTGATATTGTTGCAGGTACTGCTTTTCCCTTTACTAATGCTCCTTCTTCTCTTTCACAAAGCACTGAGCACTTCAAGCAGTGCAGCAGATAGGGCCTTTGAAAAACCAAAAAACTTTTAGCCAGAGATCTTAGAAGAACACGTGCCAGTTAAAGCTCCCCTACTGTGGACTAGGAAACTAATATCGTACCTAATTTATTACAAATGACAAAAGGGACACAAAGAAATGAAGACTGTTAGGTAAGTAGCTATAAGCTATAACAGTGTCTGTCCCATCTCCTTTTCTAAATCTTGTGGCAAAGGCTTGCATTTGAAAAGCCTCCAACTTCTAGATAGTATCATATACATTATTACATAAGCAATCCTGTTTTCATTCCCTTTCAGATAAAATCAAACAACAGTAGTTTTTAAAAAAAACCCCAACAAACTGATTGTAGATTTTGCTAAAACTTTAACTACTTGGGAAAATATTTTAACTGGGCACAGCACGTGACTCCACTCTAATTTGGTGTAATCACTGTGTTAGACTATTCGAATTTTCAGGCATTCTGATTAAAAGATCATTAAGATAAGACAAATAGGTTAGGATGTTATTGTCAAAGTCAATTGACAGGAACTAGGTATAAGGCTGTTTGCGTTTTGGATCCTGAGCAATGCAGAGCGCAATGCATTCTTCTGTTCTTTTCCAGGTGTACCTAGAAAAATGGAAAGAGAGATAATCCAATGCATATGGAGGGGATCCACACACTCAAACCAACAACTAAAACATTGATGCTACTGAAAGAGAGGGGAAAACAAACAGGTTCTGTTCTTATCACATTTGGTGTCCTTAATATTGGTATATCCTGTGGTATTTCTGGGACATACTCTTCACTATTGCTAATATATGCCAAACATCACGACATGGTGAGGAAGAATGCATACATATTTACAGATTAACTAAAGGGGAAGGCATCTACTGTGATCTCAGGGACGTGAAGACTGGAACAGAATCATCTCAGTACCAATGTTATTGTATGGATAAGTACCTACAAATTCAACAGATTTTTTTACTTCTGGTCATCAATTTTGTATCAGCCGAATCTGTGTCAGTTACAGAGATAGGCAGAGATCAATCACTGTGCTACAGTGATGCATACAATAAAATTTGTCTGCTGTACAGGTCTGACAAATGTCTTCAAGCAGTAGGAACTGTGCATGTGCATCATGCCATGACTTTGAAAACATACTCATTGATGGACTGCAGGACTGGGAATTAATTTAAGTGATTTTACAGGAGTAATGGAAGTAATGGTGAAGGGAAGAGGTGGCTACATGTTGGAATCACAGGTGCAGACAACAGTTCTGTGCACAGCTGGATAGTTTCAGCTCTTTCATGAATATTTTCAGGGCTGTACAAAAGGTGCAGAAGTCAGCATTACTACTTATTAGAATTTTTTTCCTGTAGGAAAGGAGGCTATTTTTATCATGTGTCTATGATCTGCTGCAATGAGTATATGTCATTCTTCATCACCTTCTTGGTGGGCACTTTATCAGTTTCTGCCTATGATCTGCTGCAGTGAGTATATGTCATTCTTCATCACTTTCTTGGTGGGCACTTTATCAGTTTCTGCCACTCTCTGCATCTTCCTTTCCATTCTTTCTGGAAACTATTTACACTGTCTTTTTCCTTTATGCATATCACATGTGTTATGATTGTGAAACAGCCATATGCATCCAATTTCAGGAATGTTCTCAGCCTGAACCCCAAATTCTCTTGCATTCATGTTGGCTGTGTCTGGTTTGATGCTAGAGGATCTGATATGAGTGCCAATTCATGCCATCTATCTTTCTGTATAGTCTCTTGCACGCTGCTTTTCTAGGTAGTGCTTCTTTTTTTTTAAAAAAAAAAATTCCCCAGCTTTTAAACATAAGAGATGAACTAGAATGAGTGTCTGGCTTTGTTTCCTCCTGAAGACACTTTTGCCCTGAGGAATAAAGGAGGAGGCTATTGCAAATCCTGAATTCACAGATGCTGTGTTTCTGCACCAGTGATGCCCAGCCTGCTGTGGATCAAATACACAGAATTTATGTGGCTGGGAGCTGGGAAATGATGCACTGAATCACTGATCATCTCTACTCACATTGATTGGGCACGGACAAGCAGGCTGTCACCAGCAGATAGAGTCAGGGTTTTACCATCCATGGTAACAGTCGATGTGCCCTCCTGAAGGGAAAGAACAAGTAATCAGCTTTTAATTTTCCATGTACTGTCACCAGCAGAAAGAAAATGCTGCATGTAAGCATGGAAATTTTTCCCACTGAAAGAGCACTTCAAACTTGCTCTGTCTCATGAGGCCTAGCTCAATATGCAGTTGACTTTCCCTGTCCAGCACTATTAGTATCAATAAAAACATGCTTCATGGTTCATTGTTCCCTATCATAAAGCAGCAACCCATTGCCTGACTCTTGAGGTACACTGTTACAAATCTGCAAGTTGGTACAGTGCCAGTAATTGCAGAGAAAATCATCTGAAGCAATTCAAGCTCCTCTTCTACTTTTCCTGATGTCTTTCTAAGTCTTGAAAAGAAGCTCACAAGTTAGTAGGGAGCTGACCAAAATTTCTAATAGGAGTCCATGCACACTAGAATGGACTCATCTTGTCAAGCAGAGGAACCAGGGTTCTCTCCAGCCACAAGGTCTTGATTGCATAGTGTGTTGTAAGCTGCACTGTAAACAAATGTCTTTCAAGATTACTATGTCTTAATTAGTATTTGATAGTCCCTGTGAATTTCAGCAGAACAGGAACTGATAGAAATATCTGCCTCCTAAGCTCACCTGACCTATGTAAGCAAAAACTAGCTTTCCTTTGCTTTTTCCATTGAGGTGCAAATGTCTTCTAGAAGCCAGTTGAATGAAGGGCATGAAGATCACCTACCACTGTGATTTAGTATAAACAAGTCCTCAGACTTTTTTATTAGCTTATTTTACTTGATTCCAGTTTGAAGTCAGTATGAGGACAATGCTTCAAGGCAGAACTAACAGGCAATGTTTAATCACTTGGAGGCATTTGATATATTTACAGGATATACCCTAGGTAGGGTGTACAAAAAACCCCAGCAAGGATGGATGCCAGTATCTCTGTTGTAAACATACAAGATGAGGAAAAAGAGGATATTTTTATGGTGGCAGTGCTTTACAATTATTTTTCATTACAATTTAAAGCTGATGGGTGGTGTCTGTTGATGATCCTTCCCATGAGGACTGTAATCATTCCAGTTTCTGTTGCTAGAAGGTTTTACTAGTGTTCAGTCTGAGCTGAAATATCAACTCATCAGCTAACAAGTGTGAATTGTTACATACCAGCTGCCATATCCAAATATCTGAATTCTTTTTACTTTTCTCAGTTGTTCCTGGTCCATAAGCTATAACCTTTAACAAGAAAAGAAAGGGAAGAAAAGTAATTGATTCATCCCAGTGACCAAAGTGTCCATATTCATCTTTCAACAGCATTTAAAACATTCTACTTTTACATGAAAATATTCATAGAAGATGACGTTATTTTTACAGACATTAAAATTCACAGTACGTTTGGTATTCTCATATTGATTCCTACTGATAAAAAGGGAACTGATCACACCTGCCACTCCTTATGCTCCTCTGCATCCTCGCTTATCTATTCCTTCTGCCTCCTCCCACTCTCAGCTTTGCATCTATATGCTTTCTGCTTCTGTTCTTAGAACAGGCACTTCCTCCTCATGAACTCTGGGCCCTGTCAAGAGCTTGTTGAAGTAGAAAAGTTTCTTCCATTAACATTAAAAAAGCTGCAGACTGGACTTCATCTTTCTCATTATCTGCCTTTTCTGTGTTCTTCCTGACAGTCCCACATTTTCTGTCACTTTGCTGTCAAATGTATTTGATTCTTCAGAGTGTGACTCCAAGTAATGGAGGGGAAGAATGTTTTGTAAACATTGTGCATACAGCAAAGATATCAAATAGTGACAGCTTCATTTACACTCAAACTAGACTGTGGTGGACTAAACTGAGAAGTGCAATGCTTTAGCGCAGCCCAGGCTTTCTGGTACTGTCCATTTTTCCTTGTTTCCACTTTACGTAGATCAAGGGGGATAAAAAACCATTTATTTACACACTCAGATTTTACTTGGCATCAAGAATGCTGTTCAAACACGTAGTGAAACTGAACACAATTAAGGGCAAGGGTGGAGGGGAGGGTGGGCAGGCAGGGGGATGGAGTGAACAAGCTGTTTTAATCCAAAAGGAAATGAATGGAAATAAGGCCCAGGTTGATTCCATGAATAGAAGTATGTGTGCTAGGAAGCCAGTGTCCTAAACCAGATAAACCAGTGGACAAAGACAGCTACTTCTGACGGGCAGGGCAGACTAAGACTAAGACTGAGCTCTTCTGTTGGGTTGCGTAACTTTTGCTGCTGACTGTGTATTCTTCTCAGGCCTGGATTCACTTGGTCTGATCAGAAGGCACCTATTATCTCAACCCTTAAAAGTATCCCTCTCTTTTTAGAGAAATGGGACACCCCTACCTCTGTTTCAAAGTTGTCTCCAAACATACTCAAGGATTTCTTCTGCTTTATTTCAGCACGATGATCATTTAACCAGCCTGAGAAGGAAAATGGCTTCATAACAGTAGTGGAATTTAGTGGGAAAGGTGTTTCTTTCAGGAGTTCATCTGTAAACAAGGTAGAGGATTATCAGTGATACTTGCTTCCATTGATCTCTGCAAACATTTTACCATTATTTAAAGTTTGAAGGGTTCAATTTATAGATACTATCTAGTCAAAAGTCAGTTGTAACAGTAAACAGTGCTATGATTAGTATCAGGACTTCTTACCTGACGGTGTAAGATGCATGTGTATCTTTATGGAGTGGCTTCTTCAAAGGTGTTGTCAGAACTGTGTATTCAAAATAGTATGCAGTAAACTACCTAGTTTTTGCTGGCATATTTTTCATTCTCTTTCAGACCAACTTTTGCACTGATAAAATATGGTGTATTGTCTCTGAGTCTTTGCTCATATCATATCCCCATATAAGTGCATTTAGGCCTGTAGAATAAGCTTACTCTACATCTCTCACATAGTTAGTATTGGCTTTTATGTTTCTTCTCTCCTATGTATTTTTCAAATATGCTGACCGCAGTGAAGCAAACAAATTTTAGGTTGTGATAACCTAATAAAATGTATTTTTGTGGTGTTCCTGGAGTTGTAGCTGGATTTAATTTCCAGTAATTCTCCTTCATAAATGATTTGATTTAAAATAGCTGCAGGACCAAATGCAATTTCAGTGTCGCTGGAAAAATTCAAGATTTGTGCTACATGTTGCTGATATATGAAATGAGCTTTTGTTATTTGCCAGCTCAGTGAAGTGCACAGAGAGTGCAATTGCCTTGGTGATCCTAAGTAGGTCCTAAGATTGTTCTTAGATGCTATAGGGGAACACCCATTGACTAATTTCAAGCAGTAATGCCAACTGGATTCTGGAAAACTCACAGTGTTTTCTCCCAAATACATTGAGGTAATAAACTTATAGCTAAACCTTAGTCTCAGTACTGGTAATAGCCTATGTCTTTTTTAAGTAGTAGTGTATTCATGCAATATTCATCTGGTTCTGTTCTAAAGCTGTATTTCACTGCTCCGCAGTGTTTTGAATGTATAATTTCAGTTTTTCATTAAAGACCATTTTGCATGTGGTCTTTGAACAATATGAGAGAAAGTCAGTGCATTCAAGGGACAGCAGCTTACTGAATATGCTATTGCTGTTTAAAGGATCATAGTAAGCACTGAGTACACCCATTTCCAGACAATCTGTGTTGGATTCTAACCCTTTTGTTGTAGAAAGACGTTTTGCCATCCAACTTCCTTCTCCATTATATTAAAATAATTGGGAGAAATCAACATGTTTCTTCAAATAATTTCTCTTGGCAATGTCCCTTTCAGGAAATACTGAAAGTGATCTGAAGGAATCAGAAGAAAAAAGAAATCCTGTTTGAAAGCATTTTCATTCAGACTTTTGGTTGTTCAGTATTGTTCTTTTATTTTTAAAGTCTTCTTTCTTTTGCATTATTTAACTCAAATATTAAAAAGAACTTGTATTGAAAAGCAAATTCCTCCACAGAAACTAAGCAGTACCAAAAGAAAATCTTTAGATTTATTCTAATTTGGGCTTGGAAACATAACAAGATCTAGTCTTGAACCTTCTGTATTTTATTGTTTGATAACACTAAAATGCAGTGCTAATGTAATTGGTGATTTATCTTCCACACTCAAATGTCTGGTTATTTTGTTTTGGGTTTTTTTTCTTAATTTTCACAGGTTCATCAAACATGCTCTGGAGGTAATTAGGAACAATTACACACTTTGTCCTTAAATTATACGTATACTCAACTGAAGCTGCATTGGAACATTGTTTTTTGTTTTGCTTTGTTTTTGGCTAAGGAGAGATACAAAATAAAGGTCTTAAATAGTATTCTATATATTCACACACAGCAGAACAGAAAAAATAAGACATTTTTTCAGAAGGTACTTAGTGAAATTAGTATTCCAAAAGATTTTAAAATATTTTGTTCCATTAATAGCAGCAATCTTTACCAGTTTTTTTTTGTTTTGTTTGCTTTTATAAAATTCATCCTTCTTGAATTCAGAAAAGTTTCTTGTAGTTTTTGAGTACAAGAAAGTTGCCCATTGTTAGGGCTTTCTACTAAAATGCTTGTCCTAGTTGAGATAGGTGTGGGGCTTTTTGGGGGTGTTTTAGTTTGTTTGTTGTTGGTTGGATGTGGGGTTTTTTTTTTTGTTTTGGGTTTGTTGCTGGGTTTGGGTTTTTTGTTTCGGTGAGGTTTTTTGCATGTGTGTGGGTTTTTTGTTTGTTTGGGTTTTGTTTGGTTTTTTTAAAAATTTGTTTTATAAAAGGCATAGAGCACCTGGTAGGGTAAGAGACAAATACTGAGAAGCCGTGAGTATTCTGTCCAGCTCAGAGGGATACACAAGTCAAGAACTCCAGCATCAAGCTAACAAGTAAGTTCAGACTTCATATGCTGCAGAATGGATAACAAAAAGCTGAGTCACAAGGATAGGCACTGTGGTGTTTCAGGCAAGCAGAACTATGAATGCTCCCCACAAATTTCAAGGAATTTGGGGTACAGAAAAGCCAAAGTACTTGTGTTCTGACCAAAACACAGCACAAATCTAACAATGAGAAGTAACTATAAACTTCTAAGTTTGTAGCTTAACTTCTGTCACTTATTTCCCATAAACATAATTTTGCTAGTTATCCTCTTTCTAGTGATCTCTGACTCCAAGCTGCTCTTATCAACAGGGACAATGTGCAAAGGACAACAGCCAACAGTGACCTGTGCTTACTTGGGGCCAATGTAGAGTGTAATACATCCTGCCCTCATTATGGTGTGCTGTTCTTTCTTGCTTCTGATATACAATCACTTTCTAACAGTTTCATTTACTTTAAAGTAAAGGTGGATGTTTGTTTATTTAGACTTTAAGCTCTGAAGTTCCAGAGCTGTTTTTTGACACTTGTCAGCAGGACCTGGTCTGTGATGAGGTTTTGACTTAATACTACTCTTGGTGTTAATGACACTTGCCCAGTGGCAGCATAATGGCCTTTTAAGAATGTGTCCGCATAAAATTAACCTTTGGTGTGATCCAGTACTTTGATTTGATTACCTGTTACTGCAAAACAAGAGAGCACAGTGATGATGAGGCATGTGACATTATCAATAGACTACTTGACTGAGGCCTTATTTAACCCTGACACTGATCCCTTGCATGATGCTAAAAGATGCAGGTGCCCTAGCACTTGTGAACTTGAGCTCATGAGTTACAATAAGGAGGATCCAAACTTTTGCAGTCCCACACACATCAGAGTTGGAGCCTGGTGCTTCCAAAGGAACCGAGTGTTTCTTCCCAGGCTAATGGCTTATATTTAGATATTGTTGTATATATTTCTGCTTAGCTTGTACTGTTTCAACTGTATCTCAGGAAGTGTATGTCTGTGTTTCTGAAATTATGTTCTAGCAATACTGTGAGAAAGGAGACAACATGTTTAATGATGGCCAAGGTAAAAATATGCCAGCAAAATGCAAGAAGATAACACCTCTGAGCTAGTCAGCTAAAAGTCTTGTGTATGTTTTTCCAAGTAAAACAACACTAAATAGAACATCAAATCTAGCATTTACTTGCATGTTGAGGACATACATTTAAATAGTTCAATACCGAAGTCCATTTTTGTAGATTGTTACTATTAAAAATTCATAACATGGCAATATGTCTTTATGGGGTTTATAGCTCTCTTCAGGTTTAAATTAGAATGTGATATTATCATGTTAAACTGAAAAATACATCATGTTTACCGAATGAGTTTGTAAATATTTGAAAAAGGAAATTACAGGTTTTAGAGGAAGTTGATTTCAGTCAAACAATAGAGACTGTACTGACAATATTAAGCTGGGCAAAAAAAGAAGAGAGCAGCCTGCAAAAAACCAGCAAGTGAGTGTAGAATTAGAGCCTGAACAGAGAAAATCTAAGAAGAGTTTGACCTTGCTGGAAGTCCTGTATTTCTGATAGCAATAAAGAAGATAGGTTAAGAGAACAGACATTGACATATCAGGTATATGTGGCTGTATTTGCTCACCTCAAACTCACAGGTTACATGGAAGGCCCTCCTTCCCTGCCCTAGTGATGTGACTGAGCTTTCTGCTTGGGAAATCAACCATCTCATTCTCCAAGTGTTTCTTTAGACCTCTTGCAAAACTTTTCTCTGTAAGATTTGTGCAAAGAGCAATAAAACACATGAAATATGCTCAAATAAGGTCGACTGTCAAACTGATTACATGTTGGCTTTCTGCAAAACTATTTTTTAGTGATGTGCCACCCCTTATTTCTGGTCAGCACATTCTAGATGGAAGAATCTTCACATCTTTAAATCACCTCATCTATTCTTACTAATTATGAAAGTCTCTCTACCCCAAAGGCACCATGCTGCCTCAGAACAATCTGTCCCTTCATGCTGTGGCCCTGTCTTCATGCAAGGACAAAAGACAGTTCCTTAGAGTCTCCCCCTGTAAAAGCAGAAGACATCCTTATCCAAAGTGGAGCTGTTGAATCCTCTTTATTCATCCTTTAAGTGAGTGTAAAATGGTCCATACTAGGGATGAAGAGCTCACGAATTATTTTAAAATTATGTATTTGTTTATTTCTGACCACTTTCTATTCATAATTTTCATCTCTTAAACACCATATTGTAATGAATAGTTCTAATGTCAGAGTTTTGTAATGTTTCACACTTAATTGCCAATGCTACCAATAACATATACCCTGAGATGAATTTCCCATATGTGGCTACCTAATTCCTATAAAATCTGCTTTATTCACCATGCTAACATAAATGTCAATGATACTAGCAGGACTTTAATACCTCTGCAAATAAAACCTGTGAATTTAGGGGTGTAATTCCAGACATGTGGATTTGAAAAAACAAGTAGGTAGCTCTTTCCATATACAAATCCAGAGTGAAAGCACTGACAGTGACTTATTACTTTGGGTTCATTTCACTGTTGCTGTATATAGATGCAGAAACATTTAGCTGAAAATACAGCACTCACTTGGTGTAATCATACATTTTCTTGTGCAACTGTATTTGTTTTTGTAGCATGCCCTGACAATT